GGGGCGTGCCGCAACACCCACAGCAGCATGCAGGGCTCAGACTAGCCGTTCAACAAGATTCTGTTGCACAACTCAATGCGGCGGGCAAGGAAAGCTTGGGCAGGCGGGGCGGGAGACGGGATGCGCGGGCGGCTCACGTGAAGCCGTCGACGGTGACGGATGAGCGGCTGTTGACTATCACCTTACCGGCCACCTGAGGCGTTCACGGGTGTTGGCGCGGGCGCGTGAAGCGGCGCAGTGCAAATTGTCGAGGCGGTGGGGCGGCTGATGACGAAGATGATGGCAGTGATGCATGGTGATGGGCTTTGATGCGGGGCGGGGGACAGGCACTCTGCAGGCACAATTGGGGGCTCGGCATACGGTGGTCACCGCACAGCGCCACTCACATCGTGCGCCAAGCTGGAGAGCTTTCCTGTGAAGCCTGCAAAGGCGAAGACCGGTGCTGCCGCGGCGGCAGCGGCGGCAACCTGTAGCGTGGTCGCCACAAGCAGGATGGAGAGAGCCACCCCGAGGGCAGCAGCGCGCGCGGTTTGAGGCATCTTTGCGGGCGCGGTACGAGTTCAATCGCGCAGGGTCGTGCGGATAAGTTTTAATATGCTACACTAACCTTTAACACGCCCATTAAGACGCCGGAAAGTTGCGACCCACCCACCGGGCTCCGACCACCCAGCGAACAGTAGCTGCCAGCTCCGTTTTGTCAATGGCACTCTGTCACTAGAGGCACGCTGTACAGTGGGACCAAAATCACGTAACGAACGCATTTTGTGCTCGCAGCTGCTACCGGTAGTGAGGACCGCCAGCATCATGGGATTGGAGGTACCTCATCATCACAATGTGCTGCTGTTTTGCATCCTGGCTGCTACATCCCCCATGGCATGACACCCACCATGTACAACAAGATTTGTAGCTCTCATCACCTCTTGAGACCCCAGCAGGGCATGGCACCAAACACCAATGCCAGGCTTGTCCAAGGCAACCTGCTTGACCTTCATTCCCCATCAGCACATGCTGGCCGTGCGGTCGCGGCGGGTGCGCACTCGGCTACGCTTGGAAGGGTTGGGAGTCTTGAGCAGACCTGAGCAAACAGTTTTCAAGGAAGCGGAGCGGCACCGCAGTCGCCAACAATCCTCAGTGACGGGGTCCGCGGGGTCCGCACCGCCCTGTGCTTAGTTCGCGCCTCCGACGGCCCGGATTACATGGGCGGCTCGCTGTTGGGTGCGGTTGCGCGCGCACTAAATCACCTGCTGCTAGCGCCCGGATTTTCATACACTCTGTGGTGCCCTTGCTCCTGCACCGTCCTCCAGCCTTTGACTGATTCCCTGCCCTGGATGGACCCAGCGACCACGGGAGCAGCAACGGCAGATGACATGCAGGTACCACGCGCATCAAGTAGATGGGCCGTGTGATGGTTTGTCTGAGCGCAAACCCTCATGCATTGAACTCCCTGTTAAAACTTTGGAGGGGGGCCTGCAGTGACGGCGGCAAGGCCAACGCATGTGTTCATATCGCCGTTGCAACAGCAGCGGCGAAGCAGGTGGCGCGCCTGCGCGTCACAGGGGCGAGGGCCAGGGCCAGGGCCGGCGGCTAGAGTCAAGCGTGGGTTTGCGCCGCAGCAAATCCCACGGCTAGGGCTGTGCGACAGGCACGTCATGGCAGCGCCCGGCAATTGAAGCGTGTTGCACCACACGTCTCCACCGTAGTCGCACGTTGCTAATAAACGTGGGAGCGCAAGGCACTCTACCGACACAGACAGCTGGAATAGATGCAAGCAAGGGAGCCGCAATGCATGGCCTGGTTCGTGCCTTGGCCTGTGCCGGGGTGGGGCTGCCACCCCGTGCACGGTCGCATCTGCCGAAGAGTAACGAATACCAATTGGTTGCAACCACCACGTCAACCTGATGCCGCACTGGCGTGCTTTACGACCTCCTCACACCAGAGCAAAAGCTCACAATTGAGGACTGTCTGAGGCGCGTGTGCAGCGTGCATGCCTGAGAAGTGCGCCTTGCCTGCTTGGCGGCTGTAGATCTGCGTTGGATTACGAGAGCAACACTCATCCTTGGATAGGGCAGTGGCAACAGGAGCGATGTTCAGCCCTGCATTACATAAACATAGGTTTTCTATGCGCACAAATGGGCTAGTTCAGGTGCAGGACTCAGATACCTCTAGATACACTCGCAGCAGTGCCGCGATCTTGAGGCGCAGGCAAGCACCACATCGCCAGAGACGAATCCACGCCCTACATTCGACTCATCAAGGCACATAGCGGGTGCTTGCAGGAAGTCGCCGCGCTCGGCCCGGTGGTGCTGGACAACGCACCGCGCGGCCTCGGCCAGTGTATGCAAGAACCAGGTACGGGATCGTCAGGCGATATATAAAATACCATACAGGGTCCCTAGCCTGCCGCTGTGCGACACGGTGCATGGCCGCATCGGACAACGAACAGGAAGACGCCGCCGCCGCACACCAACCGCCCCCCAACCGCCCCCTCCCTGCTGGCCGCGCCGCCCTGCAACAGGCCTTGAGGCCGGCAAGGGCGTACTCCAGCAATCCTAGCAGCTTCCTCATGTGGCAGTCCTACGGCCACCCCTGCGACGCGCAGCAGCTGCTGCAGCGCCCCGCCGGCGCAGAGGTGCCGGCCTGCACCCTGACGGCGCCCTTTGCGGGCGCCTGCAGCGGCTGGCGAGCCGCACCGCAGACCGACCTGTATGGGGACCTGCGGAATGTGCGCGAAGCCGCCGCCTCCACCGCGTGCGCGGCCGCCGAGGGCGCGCTGCGTGCGTTCGCAGCAGCCAGAGCCGCCGCAGGTGCATGCGGGAGCCAGCACATCGGCGCGGCACGGCAGCGGCGGCTGCGGCGGCAGGATCGGCGGCAGCAGTGGGCTTTGGCAGAGTGTAGCGGGTTGCAGACGGCGGCCGTTTGCAGCGGCGGCGGGATAAGTGACAGCAGCACCAGCAGCGTCAGCAGCGGCGTGAGATGTGGGGCCTGTGCGCGCAGCAGCGCCTGGCCGGTCGCCCCTTGGGGCTGCGACTGGCGCGCAAATTGCGGCCACGGACAGCGCCAGGACGACGCCGGCGGCGGCAGCAGCAGCAGCACCAGCCGCGGCGGGAGCAGCAGCGGCGGGAGCAGCGGCAGCGGCGGTAGCATCAGCTCGTCCCAGACGGCAGTGGACGAGGGTTTCTCGGCCCTCGAATGCGCCGAGCGCCTGCCGCGCCGAGCGCGCCGGGGCTGCGGCCTGGGCGGCGGCGGCGGCAGCGACGATGATGATGAGGATGACAGGCCGTCAAGAGACCACCTCATGTCAGCGTGCGGCGGCGGGCGCGCCGCCGCCGCCACCGCCGCCGCGCTCGGCCCCGGGTCGGCGCCCGCGCGGCTGCTGTGCGCGCGCGTGAGCGTGTACACCGATGCCAGCAGCCCCGCGGCGCTGGCGGCGGCGAACGGCGTGATGGCGCGCATCCGGCTGCCGGGTGAGTTTCCGTGCCCGCAGGCGCCCGCACGTGATTGCTCCCACAATCCTGTCCCTCTGAGCGATGACAGGACCCGCGCCCCACGTCTACGGGCTTGAAAAAACCCCACAACATCCCACGCCGCCCGGGGCCGCTTCGCCGCCGGTAGCCAGGTCCCTGTCGCCGCGCCTACGGCCGCCCTCAAAGCAAATCGTAAACTCTGCTCGCCCGGCCCGCCCCTGTCGTCGATCCCTTACCTCAACAGGCGGCGTGCCCTATGAGCCCGTGACCCTCGGCTCAGCCGAGTTCCAGATGGGCGTGATGTGGCACTTCCCCGCCTTTGCCGTGACCCTGGGCGCCTCCAACTTCCGCCGCCTGCTGGCCGCCACGCCGCACCTCGCGCGCGCCGCGCGCCGCTGTCCCGCGTTCGCGGGCGTCTGCATGTCCCTGCCCGCGGACACGGCGGTGAGACGGCTCGCACGCGTGCTCACAGCCCGCGCCCCCTCACCAGCCGCCTGGGCCGGTCCCTCTCAAACACGCATCTGGCTGTTGCATCCCCGCTGCAAGCCTGCCATTGCCCAGTGAACAGGAGTGAACCACACGCCACCTCGTGGTACGCTCACCATCAATTCCCCGGCCACCGCCTAATCGTGATTGCAGCGGTCGGTCAAACCAATCCCCTGCGCCAACTGCAAACCCACAGGCGCCCAGCCAGCTGCCGCCGCTTTCAGAGGAGGAGCTGTTTGTGACGAGCGCCTCCCTCCGCTCGACCCAGTTCACCTGCATCTTCCTGGCCACGAAAGTGGCTGACCAGGTGCGACGTTGCACGATGTGGGCGGGAAGCGTGCTCTCATGTGTGCGTGCATGTGCGAGCTTGCCACCAGGGCGTGCGCCTGCGCAAGCAGGGCGCTCGCTTTTCTGCTAGCACCAGACTTGAGGCAGCGTGCAAGACCAACAAGGAGGGGTTAGGCGGGCTGAGGGGCGGGGCAGGGAAGGGGGGCGCGGGACGGAACGGGCACGGCGGCGCGGCGCTCACGCAGCATGGCAGCGCTCCCGCCCTGGGGGCCGCGCGAGACGACGCGCCCTGCGCAGCGGTCGTTTCCACACACCTGCTTCGCCGCCCAATGTCTGCAACCAATGACCTGATCCCCTCCTTCAAACACTCTACCCCAACAAACCCCAACAAAACAGGTGCACGCATCCGGCCTGCTGCGCTTCATGCTCAACGCCATCACCGGCCAGCGTGAGCGCCGCGGTCTGCAGGGTGCCGCGTCGGCAATGCGCCTGCACTCTTTGGGCAGCTGCGGGCAGGGCGCCCGTGTCGTGGCAGGCCCCGGCGTGACGGGTGCCCCGTGGCCAGCCGCGCGACAGCCAGGTGCTGGCCAGCAGATGCCTCGCCCCGCCCTGCCCAGCCGCAGCAGCATCGCCCCCCTGCTGTTGGGCGGAACCAGCCCAAAGCGCTCCTGGGAGCTTATTCGTCGCATCTGTGTCGTCGCACCCGGCGCAGCATCAAGTTGACGTGGTTCAAAGCGACACCGCTGCCTCTGCCCCTACCGGGCACTGGTTGGCAAACTGCACCCCCCAACAGCACCCCCGCTGCCGCCGCTCGCCGCGCACCATTGCCTTCCCGCCCCGCAGGCGCAGCCGTTTCCTCGGAGATGGCGTCCGAGGTTGAGCTGCGCTGCCTCGAGGGCCTCAACTGGCGGCTGGGGCCATACTTCTCAGAGGACCCCATGGGCGGAGACGACGCTGACCTGGCGGCGCTGCTGGGCGGGCACGGCACCGCCTGAGCCGCGGGAGTGACTACAATTCCGCAGGGGGCGGCGGTGCCGCCGCCGCCAGCCTGCGGCAATGCTCGCTGCCCATGGCTTTGGCCGACCCCTCGGCGCCAGCGGCCCCGAGCTCCGATGCCTGCGGCACCTGCAGCGCCCAGGCCGGCGGCAAAGGCAGGCGCGCGCGCGACGCGAACGCGCGAACGCACGTGCACCCACAGCCTTGCTAGGGAACCCAAACTCGTTGGGGGCGGCTGGCCGGCGTCGCCACGTGTGCAGATTGCTTGTTGGATGCATTGGCCGGGCACCAACGTGCGCGGGCCTACCACGTCCGCCCTTTGTTTGGGCTCTGCACGTCCGCCGCCAGCGGCCAATGCCCGCGTGCGTGGCCATCCCGCCGGCCCGCCCGCTCGGCGCAACAGCTCGCCCACACATATGGCCCCTCGCAGCGCCATCTCAGCTCGTGTGAACAGTGTCAAGATAGCACGTTATCCAGCCACTCGCACGCGCACGCCGCCTCCTCAGCAACAGCCCTGCTGAGTGCGCCCGCCCGGCTCTGCGCGCGGCTCCGGACCTGTTGTGGCTGTCTTTCCTACATGCTGTGTGGATTGTTGACGCCACTGCGAGTCCACAATGCGTGGCCGCGAAGTTTGAACTCCCGGGGTCGGGGCTGCAGGATGACTGCTTGCATGCATGCACGCACTAGCGCCTTCGTTGGGCACACGTCGTTGCCTCTAACCTTGCGCGTCGCCCGGCGCCCGCTGGCCGCGGGCCCCAGCGCACGAGGCTTCCGCGTGGCGCTGCCTGGACATTGCGCACGGGCTGGTGGCCTGCGCATGCGCCCCAGTTTGCGGGCAGGATTGTTTTCGGCTGCGGCTGCCGAGGCGGCTGACGGCCGCCTGCTCCTCCCACATTGCACCCTGCCAACCCGCTAGACTGCATGCCGTGCTGTTGCAGGACTGCATTCTCCTAGGTTTCTGTTGGCAGCAATGGGAACGTTACAAAAAATCAACTGCTTGCCATGCTGTACCATTCAATCAATCAGTGGTCGCGTCCACCCAAAAACAACGCCCACTTGCCCATTCATTCAGTACCCTACAATCTGCCCATGAACCACCCTTAGTCAGGCGCACCATTTTTGGGGTTTTCGGTAATATCAACCTCGGCCGCAGGGCGCTGCGCGTGCACGCGTGTGCATGTGCGCCAATCTTGGCCCCCCTCAACGCGGGGCGGCAGGCACCCACGGGCGCGCGGAGCGGCGGCGCTTGCGCATCCCTCCGAAACAAATTCTGAACTCCGACGGGCCTTTTTGCCTCCTTTACGCGAGCTTTTTCGGCACGCGAGGTTGCGGGGCAAGCGGCCCTACAACTGCCGCTCGCTGGCTTGCGTCGCGCCGGCTCAGGGTTGCGTCTCGCGTCCCGTCCGCCTTTAGGGACCCTGTTGAACACAGCCGGGCGCGCCGCCGTGCCCAGCCACAGACGGATAGGAACAAGTTGCCGCTCGCCGTAGTCACCGCCGCTGGAGGGGCCCGCGCGGCGCCCGGCGGCGAGCGGCGCTCCCGCGCGGCGCGTTTTTTCTAGCCGCAGGCCCTGCCGGCGGCATGCGGCCCTAAACCTGCGTTTAGCATCCGTCAAGTGTTGATGTTAGCTTGGCCATGAGAACCAGCAAAAGGGGGGGTGCTAGAGTTTGTCTGGCCGAAAACAGCCTGGCACCAGAGTTTTGAGTGGGATTTGGCAGTGGCAGAGCATCACGCGGAGTCGTGCTGCAGGTGCCACGCGCATTGCTCGGTGCTTTTGGCTCGACTTGTGGTTGTGCAGGCGCAACGAGCTTTGCCTGTTTTCTTCTCTTCACCCATCTATCAGCCGCCTCCGCGTGCCTGGCACAGCAGCGGTGTGCGCTTGGCGCGCCGGCCCCTGCCTTTTGGCCCCACCCCCATCCTTCCATGCCGTGCGCATGATTCCCTGCTGTCATGTAGAGCCGGCCCCACAACAAAGAAGAGGCGCCCCCCTGATGTTTTTTTGCCACATCTTGGCTGTTTGACTCCTTGAAATGTTTGGCCAGTTTGATCAGAGTAGGTCGTACGTGGGTCACGGTTTGCCTGCTTTTTTTCATGACGCTTGTTTCTTTTGCTTTGCTGCGCTAGGATGATGGGGCTGCACACGCAGCTCTGGTCTTGTACAGTTGTCACCATAGAAGATATCGTTGAACTTTGCGCGTGCGCGCCCCGGGGGCCGCTCCGCTCCCGGCTGTGTTTACAGCGGCGACCCGCCTGAATCGCACAACTTGCACCGCTTGTTTGTACATTTTATGAATGTCCCTCAAGGTTCCAGTAACACGTGCATCACCATAATTACTGGTAGGGATCTCTGGACTGGACAGGCATGGTTGCGATAAGATCAGCGGCTGCCAGACCCTGCTCGCCCACCAAGGAGCAGGGGCGAGATGGCCGCGCAGCGATCCTCGTCCGTCCCCGCCGCTTGTCTTCTAATCAATGACAGACCTCTAGGTGATCCTGTTTGCGGTTCACGTGATGCAATCACCGGAATGAGGGCGCGGGCGGAATCGGTAAGATCCACACCGGGTGTGCAACCGGCGCCGCCAGGTCAGCATGTGTGGCACCCGGGCGAGCTGGTTGAGCGGCCTGTATGAGGGACCTGGCTATTGCTTCGCTTCGTTTCGTGCATTCTAGCGCCCACTTTTTAGCGCTACGGCAGGTGCAGCGAAGAAAATCACACCAGCACGGTGCTCGGACAGCCTCAGTACGCGCCCAAGCACGTATAGTCGCGGCTGTGACACGCACAAGGCAGCGATATGTCCAGCAAGGGTCCAAGGAGGCTCGGCGTGATCGCCGGCCACTTCGACACGACCGCCGCGGCGCAGCAGCCGGGCCGCTTCGCTGGCGCGGGCCCCGGCGCCGCCGCGCTCGCCAGCTTGCTGGACGGCGATACGCCGGCGCGCGCGGAGCTGCGGCAGCGCATGACGCAGCACATGAAGAACGATCCGGACCTGTACACACCGTGAGTGGCCTTGGGCCCAATCCCATGTTGGTGGACCCCCAGCATGGGACCTTTTGTTCAAAGACCGCGGCCGCGGCGCGCTCGCGCATGCGCATACATGCAACCCACACCCTTCGCCGTGGCCCCCCCCAGCTGCGCTCCCGCCTCCCTCCTCCCCATCCCTCTAACCAACCACACACACAGCTATCTTGCCACCCGTTGGGCGCCGCCTCCCAACCCCAACTCTCCTCCCTCCCTCATCATCCACGGCCCCATTACCCCACCTGCCCACTCTACATACTTGACGGCCGAACCCCCTGCAAAACAAAACCGCCCACCAGGCGTTACGACATCGACCTGCGGGATGACCGCGAGCTCGCCCTGCGGCGACTGTCCAGCTTCTGCCGCGCCGGCTTCGTGTCTGTCACCGATTTCAGGTGCGACGCGGCGAGGGGCATATGCACGTGTGAGCAGTCTCGGCTCGTCAGTGCTTACGTTCATCGATGTGTGCAGGTGCATACGTATATGTGTGTGGGTGTGCTTGCATTCGTATGCATGTCGGAGTTGGGTTAGTATTGAGTCTGTTTATGTGTGAAAGTTGTGTCGGTCTCCGCTGTCACGCTTGACGAGCTTCTTGGGGTCCGTGGGGTCTGCACGCGTGTGAGCAGGCAGGGCATCGCGCGCTCGACAGTGCGCAGACCGAGGGCTCGCGCAGGCAGCGAGTGCCTCACACATCACATGGCACCGCATCCTGACGCCCCTGACCAACCGACCTTATCCACCCAATCATACCCGACGCAACCGCCCGACCGACCCCGTCCCACACCCAGGCACGACCCCCTGAGGATATTCGCGGCCCACGAGGTCCTGGCCATGACTGATCCCTCAATGGCCATCAAGGCCACGGTCCAGTTCAACCTGTTTGGGGGTGAGTGGGGCGCGCAGGGGGGGCGGGATTTGGATGTGGCGGCGGAGGGAGCGTGCGGGAGGGGGGGCGGGGCGGCTTCGAAAGGGGCGGCGGCGGCGGTGGTGAGTATAAGGGGGCAGCGGGGGCCGCAAGCA